TCCCTGCTTTTCTCATTGTATTTTCCTTTAATGTGAGCCCAGCCTGTGAATGGAGATGGAGCTCCTGCCACGTTTCAACAGCTAACGGAGTGCATTATTTGCCCCCACAGCCAGTACATAGTTGCTTATTTAGATGATGTGGTAATTTATACCCCCTCTTGGCAGACCCCAGCTACAACATGTGGCTGCTGTGCTACAGTAACTCAAAGAAGCCAGCTTGATGTCAAACCCTGTTAACTACCACCTCGTGATGGTTGAGTCTACTTACCTTGGCTACAGTTTAGGGAAAGGCACTGTCTGACTCCTGATTTGAAAGCTCCCGCCCCTCCAGAATTGTGCCTCTCCATCTTCAAAAAAGAAGTATACCAGTTTTTGAGTCTACCTGATTACTATCAGTTTCATCCCAGGGTCTCCTCCATCATGGCCCTTCTCACCAGTCTCCTCACGAATGAGAGTCCAAACAGGAGTAAGTAAACCAAGGCCTGTGAGAGCTTTCCAAGCCCTCAAGGACCAGCTCTGATGAGAACCCGTCTTGAAGCCCTGACTTCACAAAGGAGTTCCTATTACAAACGCGTGCCTCCAATCTGGGCTTAGGATAGTGGGAGGTGATGAACATTCAATCCTACACATCTGCCGGAGGTTATTCACGAGGGAGAAGGCCTACTCCATGATCAAGAAGGAAGCATTATCAGTGAAGTGGGTAGTGGACTCGTTCAACTATCACCTCCCGGGCTGACACTTTACCCTAGACCATGCCTCACTCTGCTGGCTAGATATGATGAAGGACACAAACCCTAGAATCGTGCGGTGATACCTCTCCCGTCAGCCCTTCTCCTTCTGGGTTTAGCACTGGGCCAGGAGGGCCCGTGTTAATGCTGACTTCTCTTGGGAAGGTGGAGTGCAGTTGGAGGGGGGCTGAACCCAAAAGGGATCATTGGGGGGAATGTGTAAGGGAACAAAGAAAGGAGGGCCCAGCGTCCCAGTGGTCTCAGAAAGCCCTGCTTTTTTACCTGCAACTAATGCCAGGCCTGGAGGGAGGAGAAAAAGAAGAAGACTGGCTCAATTTGAGGCTGACCATCAAAGAGGCAGGAGCCTGTTTCACTGGTCTAAGGACATGAACCAGAGCTTGTCCACTCAGCAGCCATAGGAGCAAGTAAGCCGTCACCGTACCTTCTTGGAAAACAAGGGAATCTAATGAGAAGCCCCGATTAAGGGAATCTGGAATCTTTTGACCATGCCCCAAACTTAAGGACTTGAACAGGGAGTGGCTTGGAGTTGCTGAGCCAGCAGCACAGGGAACAGGGCAGACCTGTATGCAGGGATTTCTGGGTTGGGGGTACTTTTTTTTGCAAATGCAGACCACAAGGGTGTGAATGCACCTCCCGTAGTCCCCCAAGTAAGTGGGGAAATCAGCCCCAGCCTTCCCCCAGCTGGTCAGAACATGAGGGATGGAGGCTCGGACAGCACATTGGCTGGCCAGGGTAAGGCAGGAGCAGAGCATGCTTACTTGAGGCACCATGGGTGTGTGTGTGTGGGGGGGTACTTTTGCACCCTTCACACCCCCCTGCCTCCGGGCCTGCGTGCCTATGTAGGGATGGAGGCTCGGACAGCACATTGGCTGGCCAGGGTAAGGCAGGAGCAGAGCATGCTTACTTGAGGCACCATGGGTGTGTGTGTGTGGGGGGGTACTTTTGCACCCTTCACACCCCCTGCGTACAGGCCTGCAGGGGGCCAGTGCTCCCCCCTTTTTCTCCCTCATGCTCAGTGATCCAGACACTAGAATATTCAGCTACCAGGAACCCAGCCACAGTGGTTAAGCACTGGAATAAGTTGCCTAGGGACGTTGTGGAATCTCCATCATTGGAAATTTTTAGGAGCAGGTTTAACAAACACCGGTCAGGGGTGTTTTAGATAATCTTTAGATCCGCCACGAATGTAGGGGGCTGGACTAGATGACCCCTCAAGTTCCCTTCTCCTCCTACAACTCTAGGATCCTATGATGTGTGAGGTAAGCAAGGTAGGAGGCCATGCATTGAAATTATATTATACAAGAAAAATTCTGTTCATATTGCCAGCCATATTGTACAAACCCAGAGTCTTAAAGTTACTTATTCTGGGAAATATTTTCTCAGCAGCCGAAGAACTGTGGAATGTCATTGCCTGTCATTTTCTCTTTGTTCTCTATTTACGGATATGAAGGTGAAAAGATTCATTGTTACACTCATTACTGTCATCATAAATCTCTTAACAAAAGCCATGATAATTATATAATATTTTCATCATTTTTCTTTTCTATTTTTTCTCTCCTTTTTTAATCCAATTATTTGTATAAAAGCCATATACATAATGTCTTTCTCTCTCACACACACACTCTCACACTCTCTCTCTCTCTCTCTCTCTCTCTCTCTCTCTCTCTCTCTCTCGGTATCAATGTACCAAAGAGATAAAATAACATTCATGACATACACACAAGACAAATATATATTACTTATAAGCACACCTAGATTTATGTAGGGATGGGTGCGCATACAGATACATTCATTCACAGTCATACATTATACAAGACTTTTGGGGGGATGTGTGCATGCACACACACAGAGCACTGAAATAGTATTGTACTATTATTTTAAAATGTTTTAGTGTTAAAATGTGTACAAATCACAATGAAATGGTACAGTTTATTTTGGTCTGATATTTAGAGCCCTACCAAATACACAGTCCATTTTGGTCAATTTCAGAAAGAGAGATTGTGTATGTCTGAGAGGGTATGTCTACACTAGCCCCCTAGTTCCATGAGGCGTAACGGTAGTTTGAATTAGAGATCCTAATTCGAACTACCTACTCTGTGCTGCGTGTAGCCGCGGGCACAGAGTTTGGACTAAGGGACATTTAAAAATGGCGGCGTCCGGGAAGATGCAATGAAGCCCAGGATATTTAAATCCCGGGCTTCATTTGCAATTTCAAATGCCTACATTAGCCTCCCTAGTTTGAACTAGGGGGCTAGTGTAGACATACCCAGAGAGAGTAAGACTTTAGTAAGGCATTTGATACGGTCTCGCATGATATTCTTATTGATAAACTAGGCAAATATAACTTAGATAGGGCCACGATAAGGTGGGTGCATAATTGGCTGGATAACCGTAGTCAGAGAGTTGTTGTTAACGGTTCTAAATCCTGCTGGAAAGGGATAACAAGTGAAGTTCCTCAAGGGTCTGTTTTGGGACCCATACTGTTCAATATCTTCATCAATGATGTAGATATTGGGATAGAGAGTACGCTTATTAAGTTTGCAGATGATACCAAACTGGGTGGGGTTGCAACTTCTTTGGAGGAGAGGGACATAATTCAAAATGACCTTAGCAAGTTAGAGAAATGGTCAGAGGTAAACAGGATGAGGTTTAATAAAGAGAAATGCAAAGTGCTCCACTTAGGAAGGAACAATCAGTTCCATACATACAAGATGGGAAGCGACTGTCTAGGAAGGAGCATGGCGGAAAGGGATCTAGGGGTCATAGTGGACCACAAGTTGAATATGAGTCAACAGTGTGATGCTGTTGCAAAAAAAGCAAATATGATTCTAGGTTGTATCAACAGGTGTGTTGTAAGCAAAACTCGTGAAGTCATTCTGCCGCTCTACTCTGCACTAGTTAGGCCTCAGCTGGAGTACTGTGTCCAGTTCTGGGCACCACATTTCAAGAAAGATGTGGAGAAATTGGAAAGGGTACAGAGAAGAGCAACAAGAATGATTAAAGGTCTAGAGAACATGACCTATGAAGCCAGGCTTCATGAACTGGGCTTGTTTAGTTTGGAAAAAAGAAGATTAAGGGGGGACATGATAGCGGTTTTCAAATATCTAAAAGGGTGTCACAAGGAGGAAGGAGAAAATTTGTTCCTCTTGGTTTCTGAGGACAGGACAAGGAGTAATGGGCTTAAAGTGCAGCAGGGGAGGTTTAGATTGGACATTAGGAAAAAATTCCTAACTGTCAGGGTGGTCAAATATTGGAATAAATTGCCAAGGGAGGTGGTGGAATCTCCCTCTCTGGAGATATTTAAGAACAGGTTAGATAGACATCTGTCAGGGATGGTGTAGACAGAGCTTGATCCTGCCTTGAGGGCGGGGGGCTGGACTCGATGACCTCTCGAGGTCCCTTCCAGTCCTATTATTCTATGATTCTATGATTAAATTAACTGCTTGCAGATTTTAAATTAGTCAATTTCACGTTTTCAGATATTTACATCAGAAATTCCATGGTGTTGTAACTGGGGGGTCCCAACCTGAGAGAGTGCTGTGGAAGAGTCACAAAGCTGCTGTTGGAGGAGGGGCTTGTGGGATTGCCATCCTCACTTCTGTGTTGCCTCCATGGCTGGGTTTTAAGACAGCAGCCAAGGAGTTTCATGCAGCCAGAGGAGCTACCCAGAGGTAGGTCTGATCTCCCCCTGAAAGCAGCTATGCAGGTGATGTAGTTCCATCCTTTCCCTTCCTAGCCTTTTCATGACAAGCAGCTGGAGCCCTGGGCAGAGTGAGAGCCCCCAACCAAGGCACATCCAGATCTGCTTCTCCCTTTCTTCTCTAAGGGTATGTCTACACTACAGTGCTAATTCGAACTAACTTAGTTCGAATTAGTTAATTCGAACTAAGCTAATTCAAATTAGAGGTGATGTAGTTCCATCCTTTCCCTTCCTAGCCTTTTCATGACAAGCAGCTGGAGCCCTGGGCAGAGTGAGAGCCCCCAACCAAGGCACATCCAGATCTGCTTCTCCCTTTCTTCTCTAAGGGTATGTCTACACTACAGTGCTAATTCGAACTAACTTAGTTCGAATTAGTTAATTCGAACTAAGCTAATTCAAATTAGCGGCTCCAGACTAAAAAACTAGTTTGA